CCCTGCACATCACTCAGCAGGAGTTCTAAACGTCAGGAAAAAAAAAGCTTTAAATGCTTTAAAAAGTAAGTAGTGAATCTTTGTAAACTACAGTCAAACCTATATAACAGTATTCCTTTCGTTCTAACTAGCAGGGTAACTATCACCTCACAGTTCAGGTTCAGCTACATTCAGGTCTAGGGATCTCCACATTCTTATGTGATGCCTTAAAGCAGCAATAGACGTTAAACAACAAAATCAACGTTTAACAAAAAGTCTCTTTTTTTAAAAAAAAAATTTGGTTTCTGTATCCTGCATGTTCAGTGTATGACACCTGGCCAGGGTCCCTTACACCTGCAGCTGCAGGTTTGCTTTCCAGAGCAGCTCTTCCAGGAGAGGTTTGGATGGCAGGAGCACAGCACCGCTTCCATCGCGCTCCCTGCTCGGCAAGCTGCGACTTCTCTGCACCAGGTGAAAACAGAGTATTTAATGCTCCGGAGAAGGTGTGATGTCTCATCCATCAGCTGCGCGTACAGCGCTGGGCAGTTAAAGCTCTTTTGTCCATAGTTTTTTAAGCATCGCTGTTGTTCGTCCCGTCGCAGGAAAGTTACCCTACCAGGTTCTTTGGTTAAAGACATTTCCTAAGCTCTCCCTGTGGGCCACGCTCCTTCCCGCAGCATGGCCGGGGAGGGATGGAGTGCAGGGAGCCGTGGGGTTGGAGGAGGTCGGGGCTCTCTGTCCGTCCCTCTCCCACAAAGGCAGTGGAGCTCTGCATCTTCACCAGAGAGACAAGGCGAGCTCTGCTTGCTATTCGCAGGCAAAGTAATCCTTGAGTGGGGAGAAGAGGTGCCGGATGACGGGGACACTCCAAGACCTCCCGAGCACCTTCTGGCGGGCACCGCGGCCGATGTTGGAGACCTCTGTGTAGTGGACGGGGAAGCCGAAGATCCTGCAGGGACAGGGGAGGGGGAGACGATCGTTCTGTGTCCTGCTCCCACCACCCTCCATCCCTCAGGCAGGACCTCCCGACCAGGGTCATCAGGAGGCAGTGGCAGAACTGGCCAGAAAATCCCAATCTCCTAAGAAAAATCACCCACCACTAATCTGGGCAAAGACAGCACAAACCTAACACCTGCAATGGGGACAAGCACCCCAGCCCAGCTCTGCAGAGCTGACAGTGCACTGCCACCTTGGGATGCGACCCATCCGCGGAATCCGAGGGAGGAAGGAAGGAACCCAGCACTGCCCTGCCTACCCGGAGAAACCCCCACGCAGCAAGCGTGGGCACAGGGCCTGCTCCGTAGCCGGATGGCGAGCAGCTCCTTTGCAAAAGCTAACCAGCATGTTCCCTTCAGCTCACGGCTCTGGAGTCCCCTAACGTTGAACCGCACCAATACTACCTGCAACCTGTCCCCAGGGAGCAAGGAGCATGGACAAGAAACGTTCTCATACACCCCCATCCAGGGCTGCTGCCTCTGGGATCTTGGATTTTGAGCCGTACTGATTCGAAAGAAAATCTTTCATAATGAAGCTGTGCTAAGGGGATCTGCTCTCACTAAAGGGCCTTGACATGCAGCCCATTGGATGGAGCACAGCGAGTGTGCCCGCTTCCCTGAGATATGGTAATGTATT